CCTGTTATACACCAAGTAACAAACCAATAAGGTTCCAATGGTCGTCGATCTAGCATCATACGGATATCTTCCATGAATTTATTGAAACCTGAGATAGTAAAACCGTGTTATTGATTTGAAATGTTTTAGATTTTTTACCATATATATAAGCAATGATGATGAATTCAAAGAATGCACAAACAATCACCGATAAATTAGCTGAATATTCGTTCATTAGTGTCTAGACAAAGTCAAATCGGAATTATCTTCGCTTAAAACTCACTACATACGAATAAATAGATTCCACCCTGAAAATATAGAATCAAATGTTTACAAGCACAGCATGTCTGAATGGCTTCACTTACCGGTGCACACATGGGTAAGGCTGCTAAGAAGCAGACAATACAATAGCCAATGATGATGTAGGTTTTGTAACGTCGCAGGCTACTGAAAGTATCGACAATTCCCGAGATTGTCACATCCGACAACGCAAACTAAATATCTCATAAGAATATCTACATATGCTAACTTTTACATTATGATGTACCTGAGAATCGAGACCCAGCGTTAGCAACATAAAAAAGAAGATGACTGCCCAAAATGGTCCACCTGGCATAATGGACAGTGCTTGCGGATAAGCAATAAAAGCTAAGCCAGGTCCTGCTTTCGCCACTTGATCAACTGGTAAACCGGTTTTGTATGACATAAAACCAAGAATCGAAAAAACAGCAAATCCAGCAAATACCTACAATCAACGCATGGCCTTTATGTCTACATGCCCTTCAAAATTACTTACCGAAGTAAAACAATCACATGCAGTCACGATCATACAATCCCTAAATATAGAGAAATCATGTTTCCTTTTTCGAACGAGTAAACTAATCGACATCATACCTAAGATAGTTAGATTTGAATTTGTTAAAACTAGCATAACCCAGTATAGATCCAAAGGCGACCGAAAGTGAGAACGTCACTTGAGAGGCAGCAGCAATCCAAACCTTAAACAAAATAAAAGTTAGCATGTCAACCATCGGATGCTTCCTAATTACGTCAAATTCACGGATTTTACTCCAGTTTGGTTTCAAATAAAACTTGATACCAGTTGCTGCTCCTATTTCCGGACATATACAAAAGTATTCTCTCGCATAGAAAATATCACAAACCTGGCAAAGTGACACCACGGATGATCAAAGCAAATATTACCACATATGGAAATAATGAAGTAAAATACACAACCTAAAGATATCTCTCTTAGATCCTGCCAAATCCGACATTCTAATCTATACTTTGCCTGATGATTTGATTCCTTGAATAATGCATGCAGCAACAAGAATCCACGCTAAGAGTAAGCACAGTGTCAACGACCAGTGTGGACTGCCCATATCTTCCAATGAATTACTCCGACGTAGGACATAATTACTATTGAATGCAGAAATTTATTGATATTAAATAGTAAGCATGGCATACTCGAAATATTCTTCGGGCGGAAGTGCAGGTAATGAACAATTAGCCGATCGATTACTTGTTAAACAGAAGAAACGCATAGTCGAATTATAGGAACCATCTAAATACGATTGAAAAAGATTGTTTAGGACCGCCATTTTTATCTATACAACCTGCTCTTGAACAACGATTCGTATTCCACCAATTTCCACAATCACTCCATTGAAGTTTCTTACGAAATGAAGCGAAAAAGTAGAATAAACACCAGGCAATAATAATATTGTAGTATACTGTGACAAAAAAGGAGTTGACAGCCATTGCCCAGCCAACTCCTAAAAAAGAACGTCTTCATATTGTCTATCAACAAATCACTGTCTTTGTTCTACCTTTGAACATTCGTGACATCCCAAAAGCAGCTGTTGCACCACGACTAGTAAATTGACCAAGAGATAGTTCAAGAAAGTATAATGGCGTTCCGATGAGAAAATATACGCAAAAGTACGGTATAAGAAAAGCACCTTAATCGATAGAATACTACAAGTTTGAAAAACAATATGTTACTTACCACCCCCATTTTTGAATGCTAAAACAGCATGTAAATAGAGAAATCAATATAAACATAGGACTATCTAGCTGTCAACTTACCGATGTAAGGATATCTCCAGACATTTCCCAAGCCTGCAAGACTCGTAATCTAATTTAAATCGATACAACTATCAAATCTTACCAACAGAACAGCCAATCAATGAAAGAATAAACTCAATCGGTCGATCCCATTCTTCTCGTTGTTCTTCATCAGTACTCGGTACTTCTATTTTCTAAAAATTTCATCGTAACACATACGAATTCGACATTCATTCGAGAAATTACTTCAATATGTTTCGGCGGAGCAGTTCGTGATGGAACCAAAGCACGTAAGCGATCTAACATTGTTTGAATCGAACCAAATGCCACTCAAAGCACATCTTTATATATCGAATATCGCTCCACATTACATTTTTATTAACATTAACAAATATCACGTCAATCTTTAATAGAAATATTTTAATCAAAAATCACACGAAGTTGGCATCCGATGATAGACTATGTGCTTCTAACTATCAAGCACTCTTCAGACTTAAATCACTGCTTGATCTATCGAGAAACTTGTGAAAAAAAGATCAATTCAGAACATTCTTTTATATGAATATCAGCACAAACTTGGTCTCCAAATCATCGACTACAATTCTAGTCGATTGTTGACGAACACGATATGGGTGCTCATCTTTTACGCTGCTGAGTTAGTATTCACAAACGTGCTCAGGCATACTCGATATAAATTAACAGGATATCTTCTTTCACTCCGAAGAAATGACTTTCAAGATTTTAATCGTACAATGAAGACGAGCAGAATTTAGGTTATGTGTTTACGAATGTACGCATAACCCTCAGTAGTGCAACACATTAGTCGATAATTTGTATTTAGATATACCAGTGCGCTCTATGAGGAAAGGAAAATATGTGCCACTAGAGAAAAGTACAATCATTCTTTTGTTTTGTTTGACCCACAAGAAAGAGGAAAGCGACTGGTGAACTTGACGCATTGTTTCATATTTGCACGTCAAGAGTAGCAGTAGGAAAAAAAAACATTTTTTCAAAAGAACTTTTTTTTCAGTACTAAGTAAAGTACATACAACCCTGACGCACAAGACTTCTGAAATAAACTCAAGAAATAGAAAGCAATACATGATGCAACTAATGGTTTGCTTCTATATGAAAAAAGAATCATTGAGATTGAATTTGTTACTTGTCATGAAATGTCATGGAAGTCTGAACATTTTCTTTGTTATTCTAATGGTTCAAGTTTTAAATGTTGAGTATTCTGAGATGTGATTTCTGTTTATTCCATCATTGAATATGCTTGTCGATATGTTAACGGAAATGACTCATTTATTTCGAATTTAACTGTTCATCCAGATCGATATGTTAAAATGAAGGTATACGTGGACTACTTCTAAATCATATGACAGATTATGCTCGCCGATATAATGCTTAGAGTATCGCACTAGAAGTCGATTCATCAAATTTACGTGTTTACAAATTCATGGATTTCAGATCCTACGAATTCTTTGGCATTACTATTATAAAGCTTCTGATGCTTACAAAATGCTAATTTCACTGCAAATAAACACACACACTCGCAGCCATATGGATGATTCATTCCTTTTTCGTCGTGACTACTCTGCACTTTTTCAAGACGGAGTTTAAATAAATAGTCCATAGTATGACATCTGTCATCATCGCGAACAAAATTGAACTCCGTAAGTTTTTCTACAGTGATTTTTGTAAGAGCAGTCTCAATACCACGAGTGATTTTTGAATGGTTCATGACATATTGTTACTATTAATTGATGATTCATCTAAATTGCCCTACTGTTGCGTCAGTTTCGCGGTGTGTTCGTGAGTCATGCTCCCTACATGTGATAATAAATAGAAATGTATGTCGCATAACTGTGTGTGCTTTTCTTCGATTTAATGCCGCCACTTACGGACTCTGAAAAAAACTATGAATTATATGTTGTTTATGACAACGATTTAAATCAATATATTATTCGGCCGTTGACTGTAGACGATCTTGAGACAGTAGTCAAAATTGATCAAGACACTTGGCAAGATCTAGCATGGCCTATAAATGCGTATCATGATGCTCTCAACGATCCAATAGCGTATAGTTGGATACTTGAAACTACTACCATCGACCATGCAATAGTCGGATACGGTATGCAGGTCGTGTCAGGTAGTAATTCACACATCACGAATTTAACACTTCATCCGAATCAGTGTGGACGAGGTCTCGGCGGTCTAATTCTACGTCATATGATCGAACATGCACGACAATTTTCGGTATTGAGTATGACTCTGGAAGTGGACACGTCAAATATACGTGCATATAATCTATATACGAAGCATGGTTTTGCAATTACTCATTTTCTTGAGAACTACTATGCAAATCAGGTTGATGCATATATGATGAAATTGATTCTGTAGAGTTTCTCGGAACTTTAATATCTAGATTTTCTGGCATTTAAAAATTTGATCTATTAAATAAATTGAGGTGACTAACTTACTTTTATGTTTGTCGGCGAAAATATCGTTCTCTTCCTCGCGCAGAAAAGCAAGAGAACAACCGTCGCCGAAAAATATTCTTTCCTTTTCACGTAAATGAATAGTCTTTTCTTCTTGCAGTATAAAAACCATCTACTAATATTCTTATGAGACTCAAATGCAAGATGTGTAAGAAACGTATTCAACGAAAAGGTAAGAGTGAGAAACTACGATAAGATGCTGCGTCCTTCAACTTCACAACAGTCGGGGAAAAATTATGTAACGAGACGGTTCTTCATTAATGTACTCATGTGGGCGACGTTTTTTTTTTCTTTCTGTTTGCGTGTCAATATTTAATCCAACAGTTTCGGCGAAAGGCAAAATATTTCTTTATCGAAGAAAACTCTCTGCTATCGCCGAGACCTTCATTGCATATAAAACGAATATATTTATTGAAAAAGTATTACATTTTTAGATAGTATATTTTCCTTCACATGCCGAATAAATTAACAATTCAAAGAGTGTCTCCTGCTTACGTTGCTCGAGCGTTAGCACCGCAACCACGCGGCACCTATCTTCTACGATATCAAACAACGAATGATGAAATTATCTCATCGATCCAATTGAAAAAATCACCTACGACAGCGTTATCGCAAGATTCCTATGTTGTTTTATCCGTTCGTGTCGATGAAGCTAAATACCAGTGTTCAGTAATGAATTATCGCTTGTCGTACACGGAGGCCGATGATTCGAAACTACGCAACAAACTATTGAAACAGTATAAATGTCAAGTTAACCTTCGAGAAAAAGTGACGAAATTAACAAATGAATTGATCTTACCAAAAGAGAATGAAAACTGGGCGTTAGATCCCAAGGAATTTTGCGGACTGGATTTCACCAAAGGTCATTTTGGTGGTCGACATCATGCCGGTGCATCACGAGGTTTTTGGAAAAAATCGCGGCAAGAAGGTGTGAACATCTTCGTCAAACGTGTAAAAAAGAAGAACGAACATTTTCAAAATGAACTAAACGTTTTGAAAGATCTCTGTTTCTTTTCTATTACAACATTGTATGGCTATTACACGGACAACACTTACGATTATTTGGTATTTGCAGATAATGGAAATTCTTTAATCTCACTCTGTCCCATCATTGGCAGCACAGTCAGATCGCAAATGCGTCGTGTTGTTAATATTGGCTTTCAAATAGCCAATGCAATGATGTATTTGGAGAAGAAACGAATTGTGCATCGTGATTTAACAGCTAGCAACGTTCTTATCGATTCTCATGGGTTTGTTCGTATTACCGACTTCGGGCATGCGATACAGAAAGTCGATGGACGCAATTATCTGATATCATCGTGTGCAAAAGACGGCCGATGGAACTTTCAACCTCGTTTTCTCGCCCCAGAATGCATTACCAGACGCCGAGGATCGTCGTCAGATCAAAATTACGGATGTTTTTCATCCAAAAGTGATGTTTGGGCATTTGGTCTTCTCATGGTTCAATTGATGCTAGATAGACCTTGTGTACCATATCCTAACATCATCAACGATGAAGATGTACCGCGCTATGTTGCTCTCGAACGGAAATTTCATATTCAGCCGCCCAATTGTAACTTTGATCTATACTGTGTTCTTCAGCAGTGTTGGATATATGAACCCATCGGTCGTATATCCTTTTGTGACCTTCGAGAGAAAATGATGAAATTAGCGCATATCTTCAATTAGACAATGGATGGCGATTATCCTTGCAGATTGAATCAATCGGCAAATCTTTGCAAAGCAAAGTTCATGATCGTTATCACTCGTTTGTTTTTTTTTTTGTTGTACATTAGAAGAGACAGGAATTTGTTCTGTTTCATAATCTTCTATCTGTTGTATAGTTTTCTAATAAAATTCATGTACAAATATTTATTACACATGACATTTCCTATCTGACCGAAAGGATTCATCTACTAAAAATCAAATGAGGGAAAGCGATAGTTTGTTTCGAATTGAATAAAATTTCACCAGAATTATTCATGCATTTGAAAAGTAAAAAAATAACAGAAAAATAGAACCGATTTGGAATAAATATGTTAGGAAAAAGATACTCTATTTGCGACTGGACGCTCGTTTGGTTTTTGCTTGGGATGTACTAGACGACGATGCACCTGATGTGTTCAGTTTCGACGGTCCAGTCGAACGTTTGATCTTCGTCGAAGATTTATTCAATGAATTCAAGGAATCTAAAAGCACAATCGAACGAACTATCTCGAACACAATTTTTTGCAAACTTACTTGTTAATACTGTACAAATTTTCTGATCAATTTGATCGATATTGAAGTTTGGTGTGTAACGTTTGTCGCCTGTTGTACTGTCGACTAAACTTACAAATGCTTCGTGTTTTGTTCTCTTTCAGACTATGTTTTTCTCCTCTAACCTTCAACTTTCAGTGCATAATAGTTATTTCTTGCCGGAAGATATTGAACTGCATATTCGTTTGCATGTGCGTTCAATTCTTTCAATTTGCCGTCGTTGTCCATCAAATCGACTATCTCTATAAAGAATCTCAAATTCGTCTTTTCGCTTCTTCATTCAACTTTCATTTACCATCTTGTGGCGAACCAATAATTGACTTCATATGATCCAATAATCGACGGCAAGTCGAATAACTGTTGACAAGCACTTGTTGATTTTCTAAATGTTGAATAGAAGTGACGACGGTTCATGTAAGGAAAATCGATTACCACCGTATATGACTCGCATGAATGTACAACTACCTATGATCAGAGGCTTTTTAGCTTCTGGGACTTTCGAATTCGAGGCCACACTAACCGAAATACGTTTCTGTGTTTCCATGTTTTAGCTGCAACTGCTTTTCAACACAAATGAGGATTTCGATTTGACACTTCAGACATATTTGCTCTAGCTTCTCTTTCTCTTAATTGTTCTTAAGTAAGACATGCTTCAATGTCATTTATTCGAAATGAATTTCATGTTCGACGACGACTCAAGTGTGCACATACATCTTTCTTTCGTTTTTGAAATTTTTACTATTATTGTAACATACCGGTGGTTAATAAAGTTGTCGAATATGTAATTGTTACTAATGGATTAGCAGATAAGAACGTTGAAGAAACATTGGCGTCATTAGGTGTGCTTGATTCTGCTACTGACGAGCTGCGATTGAGAGATACCGAACCGGTCGGTGTTTGCGATTGATATTGTGCGCGGCGAATTGCCGTGGTGGGAACAACACGGGATGCAACAGTAGCCATTCGAAAAAAAAATCAAAGTTGTAATTGTTTAGTTAAACAAAATTCACGTCGACTGTTTTTTTTTACACGAAAATAGCATTTCCTTTGTCGTTATGAATTAAACAATCACTGCCATCATTTATGGTTGTCATAACAAAATCAATGAAGAAAAAATTTCTCTCGCTCTCTCTCTCTCTTTCTTCGGATTTTTTTTCTTCTTCGTCTTCTGATGTTTAGATTTGAACAAGAAAGTATAAAGTAAATACATCGTTTGAAAAAAGTTAACTCATGAAGAAATTTATTTGGTTATATCAAAAGAAAACAAGACAATAAATGTTGACACGTCTGACAGATACGAGAAGAGATAAAAAATAATAATTATTAATCTGACATAATTAATTTTTTTCTGAGACAACTAAAACACAGAGATTTGTTGATTACCAAACAAAAATACTGCATGGAAGAGAGAATTCAATCGTCATCTTCATCATTATCAATTTCCTAAACAAATATTCGCGATAGGTATTCGTATTTCTTCGAGAAAAATCTTACCTGATCGACTTCCATGTGTTCACTGTCAGAGTTTGTCATTGATAATTGCTGTTGCTGTTGAAAATAGCTATTCAAACGGAAAAAAAATAGACAGTGTAGTTCAGTGAAACAAGATTTACTATGTTTCCAGTTGAACGATAAATTTTCTGACGAGTAATCGTTCACGCAATGGGTTTTCTGTTCGTCGTTGTCGAACACCTAAGATATAGATGCGAAATGATGGTGACTGGTGAACTAATGAACTCACTGAATGTAGGCATTCGTAGTTTTTGATATGATAAGAAGATCATCATTGCACTTTCTTGATCCATTTCGATGAAAATAACTAACTTCTCCCAAGGACGAAATCAAACAAACAGCTTTGACAGAAAGACTGCATGAACGAGCAGAATGGGCGAGTTTCGTTGTTTTTTTACATGCGAGTTTTCATTAGATGTTTATCAAACTGAGCAAAAATTATGAAAAGAGAATTTTTTTCGATAGATTTCCATCGTTTTTTTATCATTAATTAATTCTTTCGATAGGTGTCGCTGGTTTCCGCGCCACAGGTGTAAACAAAACACCTGATTGTGCTGTTAAAATTCCAAACAATTCTCTTTCTTTTTTCTTTCTAGAAAATTGTTTAGTTTTTAACTTGATGAGTTCAATGACGAACTGTTCCCTGAAGAGAAAACTAAGTTGAGAAAATAGAAAAAAAAATCAATGTCAATTTGAAGTTCTTTTTTTTCCTGAGATTGAGAGCTATTGATGAAATATTTATATCAAGTTAGATGTTTTTACATTTAGCAATCGGCTGCGCATTCATTTCTATTTGTATTTCTTTTTGTCATTTTCGCTATTCTAGTCTGGTAAAAAAAAAAGAAATGACTGCGAATGAACGAGCCAAACGCGAGTAAGTTACTTTGACAAATATCAAGTCATGTATTACATCCGCCGTGAACATACTAGTTCAACCGAACGAAGCGCTCTGAGTAAAATCTGGAACGATTTAGAACGAAGTGAGAAATCAGATAACGAACGACTCGAAGAAAAGGCGTTCGATGAATTTCAGTAAGTTATCTATTTAGAAAATAACATCACAATGAAGAAATTCATTGATTAGAAATAAATTTGGTTCCAAAGCAAAGTTTTCAACAAATCCCGAATATAAGCAATTCTTAAATGTAGGTCATGTTGACATCGAAATTCTCATGCAAAAATTCTCTTCATGTAGATTTTACGCTTTATAATCAAGAAGAAGTTCTCTACTTCGTAAGTAGTTCACTTAATGGTGATAACCCATAGTTTCAATCTTTCAGTCCGACTAAATCGTGTTCATTATCCGTCGTCTACTGTCTGCGAATCTTGTTGCGTGATGTAGAAAATCAACTTGTTTTTATTGAAGAAAATGGAATGATCGGTTTGAAAGCGGTACTATTTTCTTCTCATTTTCTTACTTCAACTAATATTCGTTGTTTTCTATCAATAGCAAATGGATCTCTATATGAATAATTACTCATCGGATCTCTGTGATAGTAACAACGAAATGACGTACACAGCTTGTAAAGTTTTTGGACATATCTTAAGTGAGTTTGTCTTGGTAAAATAACGAACAAACAGCCGTCCATTTGAATAGATATTCTGCTGAAATTGGTCATGCACACACCTAATCATGCTGAACGAGAATATGTCATATCGAGTGGAATCATCGAATCGATAACTAGATTGTTAATTACAACGCAAGATTTTACAACTCGGAAAGATATCTTAAGATTGTTGATGAATATGATTGATCAATCGTAAGGAGTCACTTATATTTCGAATCTCTTGTTTGATTGGATTGATTTTTTTTCAAGGGAATCCTACGTCAAAGAGATTATTAACTCAGATACAATAGATATTTTATTACAAATACTTCCATATAAAGATCTGGAGATGGAACAGTACGTTAAAGATGAAAACTTCATTTGCAGAAATGAATAATTTTATTATAGGCTGGTTTTACAACTGATGGCAAACTTTTTGGGCCATCCCGAAGGTCGAGGATGTATTCCACGAGTACCGAATGATTTTCTCGAAGCATTTACCAGGTAAATTTGAATATCAAACAAGGAAAATAGTTTTACACGCAAGTTATCTGATTAGTCATTTGAGTCATAATAATGTCAAAGTTTTGGATCATACCATTTGGTGTCTAACTCATTGTGCTGAAGCTGAAGACAATCGCAGACGAATTCGTATTACGGGAGCAATTCCATTACTACTGTCATTACTTGAAAATGGGTAAAAACGTGAATATTGTCCATTGGATTGCATTATCGCTTGCATCTGTCTTCTAGCAGTCGAGGTTTTGATTTTACACTACCATCAGCTACTACAAATCAACGATCGCAAGGGCAAAATTCGAAAAAATCCATGAGAGAAGATGCTGAAGTAAATAAATTGTTTAGTCTTGACAAAGTTCATGTAAATCCCTGTAGACAGCGTCGCGTCGCGATCAATTATTCGATATGCAATCAGCTTGTTGTACGTGCTTAGCTGAACTTTCGTATGACTACACGAATGGTCAAACGATAATTGAACGAAATGGAATTTATATCCTAGCAGTACTTCTCTTTCCTGAAAACGAAGATTTTCAAGGTTTAGAAAAGTTTAATCATCTCCAAGTAAAGAATTTCATCGAATTTCAGTGGCCTATTCTCGAACTTGGATCTTTTCTAGCGAAATGTCTTCCGAACATTACGATATTTATTCTCATTGAATAAAAATCGTGACCAATATCGACGATTATTTCCTACTCAAATCTTCGAATTGTTTTTGAGTGTTGGCAGTTTTCAGCGTGATTTAAATGCTTACAAACCCATTACGGATGCATGGAACACAATCCACTACGATGAATTAACTAAAGTCAAAGTCGAACGTTTACAATCTCTTAATCCAAAACAAGAACCCACTCG